AGGTGAGAAAAGATGTTATGTTTGTAATAAAATGGGATATATTGCAAAAGAGTGCAAGTCCATTACCAGCAAACAACAGCAGAAACCTCAACTAAAGCAGCTGGAGCCATTAACAAAGACAGTGCTGGTAAGAAACAAGAAAATAGTAACTGGCACTATGGATTCTGCTTCCAGAAGAAAAAGAATCAAGAATACTTGTCAAATTCAATACAAGAAAGCATGATTGATCAGTGCACAACTAATGATCGGGTCCAATTAGCAAATGGATCAACAGTGCCAATAGTGATGGGAGCATGTGACAAATATCAAGAGGTGCCAACAAATAATAATATGCCAATATGTGAAGGCTATGTAGGGGACAAGAAAGTGAAGGTTCTACGAGACACTGGGTGCAGTAGTGCAGCAGTGAGAACCCATTTAGTATCCAATAATCAGATGACAGGCAAGGTACACCTGTGTGTGCTAATTGATGGGACAGTGAGAAAATTTCCCACAGCAAAAATAAAGGTGGATACTCCATATTATGTAGGAGACCTTGAGGCCATGTGAATCAAGGAACCAATACATGACTTGGTGATAGGAAACATACCAGATAATAGAAACTTTGGGGAACTTGACAGAAAAAAAGATTAATGAAGTATATGCAGTCACTACCAGAGCTCAAGAAAAGAAGAACAAACAAGACAATAATCCCTGCAAGTGTCAAAAGGTGATATCCCGAATTTGGGTTTGCAGGAACTGAAGAAATCATGGAAGAAAGACCCTTCACTACCGAAACTTTGGGACAATGCCTGGATGAAACTCGAGCATAATAGAATAGAGGACTGGAAGGGAGTTCTATACCAAATCCGTCAAAGCAGTTATACTGGGGAAGTTAAACAGAACATAGTACCAACAGAATACCAGACTCAAGTGATGAAATTGGCTCATGAATCAATTGTGGGAGGACAGATAGGAACAAAGAAAATGGCAGACAGAATCACCAGTAACTTCCATTGGCCAGGAATCATTGGAAATGTGAGATGATTCTGCAGGTCATGTGACATCTACTAAAGGACAATACCTAGAGGGAAGGTAGCCAAAGTTCCATTAGGGGAGATGCCTCTCATAGAAGAGCCATTCAACAGAGTACCTGTGGACTTGATCGGGCCACTAGTGCCTGTGTCTTACAAGGGCAACTGGTATGTTCTGACAGTAGTCGACTATGCGACACGTTATTCAGAAGCAACAGCACCGGTGAAGATAAGAGACAGAGAGAGTAGCAGAAACCCTTTTGGAGATATTTTGCAGAGTAGGCTTTCTGAGAGAAATCCTGAGTGATAGAAGG